TCGTTTCGAGGTTTCCAACTGTCAGTTGGCGAGTATTGGTGGGACGCAGTGCGCTCCTGCTGATGGGGGCTGTGTAAGTTGTGGGAAGGGAGTGAGAAGTGAGAGGTGTGCTAATGGATGCGTGTAGGACTTGAAGCTGATTCTCACGGAGGCCCAGGGTTAGGGGAATGATTGTATTTACGGCAGTATGTGGAGAATGTTGCTATTGAGATGGTGACAGGGTCGATGTTCGTTGACTACTTGCCCAAAGCTTATACTTCTTGGGTACAATCTTTTGGCACTACACTCGTTTTATGAACTACTATCAATGGATTGTCACTTCTCTGGCATCTGCCTTTGAGATGCGTTCATGTCTGCTGGTGTTCACTTGCCACACAGCTATCACTGGGCATATCAGATATGCTAAAGTAGCTGGCGAAGTATTCTATCAGTAGCGCTGATGTGCAGTTTCATTTCAGACCAGGATTCCACTACCACAACACCACATCCCCATCGCCTCTCGATCTCCAGCATTTGTTCTTCTTCGCGAGGGTATCATCGAAATCACCATGAAACACGCAAATTCCATCTGACACACCCGTTGAACCAGTATCTCGGCTTTCGTGGGAAGGAAAAAGCATATAAACGGGAAAAGCAAAAATCATACAGTAGCTACTGCACACCAGGGTAATAGTTTGCAGCGGCTCATGCCGATGCATATGCAAACTTCGTGGGCTCAAGCGTCTATATGTGCGTTAGCTTCCTGTCACATGCTTGATCAACGTGTTGAGCGTGGTTGTGTGGGACGTTGAGGCTGTTGAGATGGTTGGGGATCTACGTTTATGTCGATAGACTTGCTCGATATGAACGATATCAATAACGTCTTCCCAGGAGTATTTGTCTCACCCACAATTGTTGTACTCGGGTGGGCGTGTTGGGTAGCGCGGTGAAGAGGATGCGCGGTTGAGTTCCCTAGATGTCTATATGGAGCGAATAGGGTGGGTAGATGAGTTGCTTTACTGATTGCAATTTCGATGTCATGGTTTGACGATGCCTAAAATTGGTATTGAGAACTGAGGATAGACGATGGAGGACAGACGGTGAAAGGTAGTGGGGCAGCCGCGAAGACATGTCGACATAGCATACTATGCCATATCTCCAAGCAAACATACTACGTTATCAGTACACATTGATCAAACCACCTGGCTACCCTCTGCTCAAAATATGGGAGAGAAACGGAATGCAAAACCATACCCACCCATACCCTACTTGTACGTACACCGACATACCTAAACCCAGTCAACGATACTGAACAGCCGGATCAGACCCTCACCGCCACCTCACGGCATCCCCTCGTGTCTCTATACCATGTGAGACCTACATGGTTGACAGCGAACGATCATACTTCTAACAGCTAGCTACCTCCGTCCATGCCTCTACTCCTTCCTAACTCGTTCAAGCGTACCGTTACCGGTGCAAGTGCACCACCCGACTCATCTGTTAGACCCTGAACAACGCCACAGCAGTTCAACGATACGCTTCAACATCAACTTCCTCCCTAGCCGCATCATCCGTCGCATACACCAGCAACAAACTCACCTTGTCAGCGGCCCCCAACGCCACGCGGCGCCCGGGAGATGTCCAACCTCCATACCTAGGCTTTCGCGACACTGGATACGAAGAAGAGTACAACTCCGAGTGGGGCCGCATATGAGCTGAACGATTGACATGTATGTTCACATGCATGTTTCACATTCCCCTTCTCTTTTGTTTCTACTAGTGACGGCGGTGCCAGTGGAGGGGACGCGCCGCGGGGGAAACGTGGACGATAAGATAGCGAAGAAGCGTGTTGGTCTCGCGTGGTACACTACGCGTAGATGCAGGTAATCGGTTTCAGCCACGCTGTCTGCGCGCTTCTGCGAACGTGTGGATAGCTCGGGGACCGAGGGTCGGCATTGCGCGTCTCGCGAGGGGCGGGAACTGCGAGGTTAGAACTTCTAGAGTCCGTTGACCAACCGCCCACGTGTGACTAAGTTGAACGGTAACTGTAGTATGAGATTAGTTGTCCGAATGACATGTTTTGACAGGTGTTGCGAGCATGATGGACGTCGTGGTAGGGTGATGTGTCTGCCTGGCGACGCTGTGGGCTGTGCCTCAGCACCGTCGAGAATGTCAGATGCCTTTCTCATCGCTGCCAAAATGTCGCAACACTTTCCACAACATCAACATTACCAGTCGCATGCAGCGCATAAGATAGTCGCCATAATATCAAGTATGACTGTTGTGTTGTGTTGTTGGTGCCGCGAACTCTTCACGCCGCGACACCACCCAACGCTCGCCCGGCACTCAGATCGGCAAACCTGATCTCCTGCGCTGCGCACGCAGCACCAACCGAGAACGCGTTTGATCGACAGGCACCACATCCGCACCAACGCAATGGTGCCGACTCATCTTCCGACCGAACCACGCTCCAACACAACTTCGCGCCCGCTGCCAATCCGGACTTTATCTGACCAGCCTAGCATGTGCGTGCTCAGAAACGTTCGGTGGCTTTGAACTTGTTTCGGCGGCTTAGAAAGAAGAACACGTTGGGGCGTTCTTGGTGGTCATATGGTTTTTGCGCGGTAGCGAGATTGTGTTTGGGATTGTTGGGTGAGGGGTGCCTTGAGGTGAGGGGGAACCGCTGGTGCTGAGGGGTGGGTACATGGGTCCCCGCTCCCATGGCAGATTGTTGTTGTTGCTGTTGTTATGGACGACGATATTTGCAATCAACGCAAGTGCGTGAGGCAGACATTGAGTTCCGCAATTCCAACATTCCGCCTCATGGCGACATGATTGAGTCATCACTACGATCGATATGGCCACTTCCGCCTCGATTCGAAGCCAGATACCACGTCCGTCATGTTGCATGCCTGCTGCCCGATCTGACCGATATCTCCACCCGCTCGCGTGTCTCTATGGCCTCTGATCGCCTATACCCTGTCAACGGGTGTGTAGAGCCAAAAAGAAGTTTCTGCCAGGAAGCACTCTTCCATCATCTCGCAGCCAGTCGAGCATACAACCTCGAGGTATGACTGGTAAATCCACTCCACAGCACCACAAATCCCTTCCACAAGCGAAATTACCTGTAGTTGTCTAGAACACATCCGCTTGTTGGTAGTCTTACACCTAGTGATGTCACACCAACCCGGCTCCGAGTAGGTATCGATAAGCGGGCAACACTTGCGAACGTCTTGCATGAACTTTTCGTCGCCGGCTCCGCAGGACGTTGCGCTCTTCGTATGATTGGTTTGTGTGGAAAATCATGATGGTAGTGTTGTGATGTCCGCCAATGGGAAGTTTTTAGCGACAAATGCAGGACTTGTCGGTCCGGCAGATGATAGTAATCGTATGGCTGGCTGAACTAGAGAGCATGTGTGTCGCCTAGAGAACGGCGGCAGGAACAGAAGGTGTCCGCATGCAGTAGTGTTTCTGTGTAGCTCTTGGTTTCGCAATGTCTCAGTTGGCGCATAGAGGCTGTGTTGTTGCTCTGTGCAAGGGCAGGTTGCTCGACCAGATGTACAATGTCGAGGGCGACACGCAGCACAACCATGAGAGAACCAAGACAGATGATGGAAGCACAAAAATGTCCGCGTCACTACTCTCGCTGGCCATGAGAGAAGGTCCAGCGGCCGGTGAGCAGAAGGTACACATGGTTTTCGCTTACCGGTCCGTTTCTGCTCGGAGGAGCGTCACAGGGAAGATCCAGCGAACAGCGACCCACCACGTCGTGTGAGGCTTTTCTGGTCACGGCTGGCGGTGTCGCTGTACACCGTACTAGCAGTGGGTAGTCTTCCAGATTTTCACCACGCATATACCGGCTACCACGTTGCGATAAAGAGCCTTATCGTCCCGCTGACGGCACCGGGGCTCCACAAACGTTGCATCGGCACATCTTGCTGATCCGTGAATGGAGAGAATCCTGCCTAGGTGCAGGTGGGCTGCAGATGTGGAAATGGGCGAGGCAAAAAGTCGTCGTGTAGACGGTTGCGTCACGATCCTGCGGAAGGACTGCATGCCCTGACGGAGTTGGAGAGTTACGCATGCATAGCCGAGGGGGAAGACGTGTCCGGCTCACAGACTGTCGCGGCTGAATGGAGTGTACATTGTGTCTGCACACGGCAGTGACAGTGATAGATGAAGGTTGTGGACTCGTCAGGGCGACGGAGACTAGACTCGTTGGGTGAAAACACGTGCCGGAGTGTGACAGGAACACGCAGGCAACGCGGCGCCGATGTGTGGAAAACGTTCTGGAATCTGGAGGGTCGGTATCCACGGGCGGCTGCCCCAATCACAGCTGTTTGGGTTCCACATTGTGTAGATCGCAATTGCGCGGCCTTCACGACGTCGCCCGCGGGTGCTGAGTCGAGTCCCGCGCCTTGGGATTGCGCACTGTCGTTGTGAAAGTCGAGCGACAATTCTTTGCTTCCTTGCCGCTTGCGAGTCTGGCCAAGGGGAACGCGGCTGCGACAGGCGATGAAGCGACGAAGAGAGATCAAAAGCGGCTGAAACCTCGGAGCGCCAACTGTGCCTGGCTCAGGCACACCAATGAGAAGCGCCAGCCAAGTCAGAATCGCGCGCTATCCAGGGGTGCAACATCCGGTGCAATTGGCCCTGACTAAATTAGTAACGGGGATAGTCCGCAGTGCGCTAGACCAATTCTGTCTCCCAGGAGATGAGATGGGGGCAGCCCGGCTGAAGGGCCACTTACCTTTGTGCCTGGCCGCTTGTTTCCCTTTTCCTCCTTCACCCCAACATATAATCCACCTATTGTCCCTCTTTTTGAAAAGGCAAATTCGCGCGTTCACTCTTTCACGCCCGTCTTGCGCCTGCTAGCTAGCTCACCCAGTCACTCATTACTCATACCTCAACTACTCGTTGACCAACCACTACCAGCGCATCACGACACGCCGTTGAACGACGTTACGACCTGTCCGCAGTATAAATAACCAGCGCTTACCTCACCTCTACGCAACTTCAAGATGCGTTACTCTTCCGCCGCGGTGCTGAGCACCATCGTCGTTGGCCAGGCTGCTGCCGCCAACCTCCACAACCGTCACGCCAGCTTCCACGCCCGCCGTCAAGCGTAAGTAATGCCTTCGAGTCGACAACGAAACCAGGATGCTAACTCTTCGCAGTGAGGTCAAGCGCAGCGCTGCCAACGAAGTTGACTGGAGCAAGGTCGCATACGATCTGAGCGATGTCGACTGGAGCTCCGTCTTCGCCACCCCTACTCCTACTCCTGCTCCTGCGGCTGCCCCCAAGGTCGCTGAGGTTGCCGACTACAAGACCCAGGCCGAGCCCACGCCTTCCTCCACCAAGCAGGAGCCCACTACCACCAGCGCCAAGCCCGCCGCTACCTCCGCAGAGTCTAACGACCCTCTTGGTGACCTCGGCGACGCTTTGGACAACGTCGGTGACGCTATCGGTGGACTCGTCAGCTCCATCTTCGACGATGTCCAGGACTGGGTCGAGGAGCTCGGCTGCAAGAAGGGTGTGAACAAGCAGTCACAGTGGGATGGTATCTGGGTTGGCGGTGACAGCAAGTGGAAGGCCGAGTTCATCAACGACCGCTCTGACCAGGATATGCTCCTGTTCTGCTGGAGGGCACTCGGCTACTCTGGCATGTCTGTCAAGGCCAACCAGCCCGACATCTCAGTCAAGATCCCCGCCGGCAAGTCCCTCGAGCTCTCCTGGAAGGAGGGTGTCCCCTCTGCTTGCGCTCCCGTCTTCCCCGGCTACAAGGATGACGGCTTCCAAATCAACAACACCTGGTGGGAGGTAACCTTCGGTGCCTCGGGTGCTTTCGATGTTTCGCGTAACATCAACATGAACGGTGACAGCATTAGCTCCAAGGGCTCCAAGTGCGTCTCCGACATGAACACCTGTGTCTTCAAGTGCAAGAACGGCCTGGACACCTGCGAGCAGGGTTCCGACTACGACCTCTTCAACTGCAACTCCAGCGGTGGCGGCGGTGGTGGCTACGACCCAATCATGGCCGGTACCGGTGGTGGTTGCTCCATGGGCCAGAACGGTGAGACCGTCAAGGTTGTCATCTCCTAAACGCTTCCGACATGAACATGCTTGGAGTTGGATTGCGCCTTGGGTCATTTTGTGTATTACTCTTCGCCATATTCCCCCTTTGTACCTTGTCGACCTGAACGTCTCCTTGCCTAGGCAGTCATCTTGACTTAGTTGCCTGGCAAGATGCCCACGTGCACTTTGGGTAGTGGTCGCAGGTCCATTCGCGTTACTCGTCACGGCTCTTAGCGGTCTATGTGTATTTTGTAAATGTTTATTGTTAGTATCTCGCAAATTCCAAAAGCCATAAAAACTACATCACCTGTCTTGACTCATTGAGATTTAACGTGAAGCTCGCGATATTGCACGCGTCATCACGTCTAATTGCGTGCTGTGATCGGCGTGGTTCCCGTTCGGGACTATCCTGATTCTCCAATATTGACGCTCAGACTTAACGTTTGCTGCTATCTCCAAGGTTGTCGCGTTCCCAGACCAGGGCCAGAAACCAGGACTTCGCAGGCAAATTTCCGGCCGTGAAGCATATTGCCTGGGGTAGGTATGTATAGCCGTTATTGCTGCACAAGTGGAGCGATTGTCGCTTCACGATCCAAATCTCGGGTGGTCCAGGATATGGAGGTGGCTTTGATCAGAGGCCGCGTAGTCTGTTCGTAGCTCCGATGCATCGTTGGGCTATTAGAATATAGCGCTGGCTTAACGAAGCGATAAGGCGACCAGACGGTGGATCGATCGACTGCGACGACACTGCGCGCGTCTCCCAATTCTGTTATCGAACGACCTGTTGGTGTGTATCGCGCGTGCATTTGGTTGGGTGCCGCATTGTTGGTGACGGTGGCACGGTGGTTAGCCAGCCCTAGAGGTTTATCCGCAGCGCATATGTTCACCCTCCCTAGGCGAGGTGTAGGATTGATCCAGCGACGGCAAGCGAAAGTCGAAGAGCGATGACCAGACAAATCCATCAGAAGGTAGGAACGTCCAGGCGACAGTGTTTCGACCGCGGCAGCCATGGTGTCAAATGGGTCAGTCGCACCATATGCGTAGAAAGAAAGCGCAAACCCCAGACCAAAGAACCAAACCTCGCAGCACTGTCTTGGAGTGAATCATTGACAGTAATCTCGGTATATGCACCAGAGACATGTCTGACGCTCCACGTTCTGCTGGAAAAGACGTTGAAGTAAGAACGCTCGCAAGGGGAAAGCGCAACCACGGCACCAAACGAAAGAACCCCGCATGACAATGAAAAAGAAGGGAAGAGCAAGTGTCGTAAAACTTGATGGGCGTGAACACCAGCAGAGCCCTAGAACATATTCTTTCCACGCGCGACACGTAGACTATGAGTAAGGAAGGAGCAACAAAGACACGATGCACGTTGGCAAAAAGAAAACATGGAAGCGAAGGAAACCCCTCACTCAAGTACATGAACAATACGAGATCGTGGCATGACACTATCGAATGTTCAACATTCCTCTAGAACCTCGATTTCGTTGGTACACCAGCTCACCGGACCTTTGTCCTGGCAGGCTAAGCTGGGTAAAGCGGCACATGCGATACGAGAGCCTCGAGGAAGGAGCCTTCCAGATGCGCCTGTCAAACAGAAAGACACGGGCTAGATTTTGGGTCGCAGTTTGTAGAATACATACGGTTAGATCTTGATGAGTAGAGATGTTCTAGGGTGGTGTATGCTCCTACGCTATGTATCATCATCTGGCCACCCCTAGGGACGAGGCCACGAAAAGACACTTCCCATACAAACACGTCTTGGCGCGCGCTCGACTGATGACGGTGAAGCACATTCCGGTCCTTGGCCTGGTAGTTGCATGATATACAGTACAGTCCACACCTTTCGTCGACCACAGACTTGTGACGAGATGTAGCAGGGTATGTGTCGGGCATAGCCTTGGTACCACGTACGCAGCAACATGCGACACGACTGCAAGCAACACCAAGCATCATCGGAAGGACAAAGTGATCTCATAAGTAGTTCATTCCATGTGAATACGCCCGTGATTGGTAAAGCAAACTGCGCATATATCTGAGTGCGTCTAAGCAAGATATATCTCCATCGCGAAAAGTGCTTTTTCTACTCATACATGTGGATGCCAATGCAACCAAAATACGACATGAAGGATGCAACATATATGGCGACTCTACTGTCAACCATCTACAACTCGTCGTGGTCATCGGGCATCTCATCGTCACCACCGGGGCCGCCAGCGCCGTAGAGCTTGGAGGTGATGGGGTAGGCGACGTCGGACAGCTTCTGGAACTGCTCGTCAAAGTCCTCAGCGGCGGCCTCGGCGGCGTTGCTCTCGAGCCAGTCCTGGGTCTCCTTGACGGCCTCGAGGAGAGACTCCTTGTCCTCCTCCTCGATCTTGCCACCAAGACCCTCGTCGTCGTTGACCTGGTTCTTGAGGCTGTAGGCGTAGTTCTCGAGCTTGTTGCGGGACTCAATGCGCTCGCGGTTGGCCTTGTCTTCCTCGGCGTACTTCTCAGCCTCCTCGACCATGCGCTCAATGTCTTCCTTGCTGAGACGGCCCTTGTCGTTGGTGATGGTAATGGATTCACCCTTACCAGTGCCCTTGTCGATAGCGCCGACCTTGAGGATACCGTTGGCATCAAGCTCGAAAGTGACCTCAATCTGGGGAACACCACGGGGCGCGGGAGGGATGTTGGTAAGCTCGAACTTTCCAAGTTGGTTGCTGCAGACATAGGTTAGCAAATCGATCTTTGTAGTGGACATGCAATGGCGCGGTAGATACTTACTTGTCCTTTGTCATGGCTCGCTCTCCTTCGAATACCTGGATCAAGACTACGGGCTGGTTGTCGGCGGCGGTGGAGAAGATCTGGCTCTTCTTGGTGGGGATGATAGTACCACGCTTGATAAGGGTGGTCATGACACCGCCAGTGGTCTCAATACCGAGGGTAAGAGGGTTGACATCCATGAGAACGACGTCGCCGGTGGCGGCGTCACCGGTGAGAATACCACCCTGAACAGCAGCGCCGTAAGCGACAGCCTCATCGGGGTTGACATCCTTGCGGGCCTTCTTTCCGAAGTACTCCTCAAGCATGGCCTGGACCTTGGGAATGCGAGTGGAACCTCCGACGAGAACAATGTCGTCGATTTCGCTCTTCTTCATCTTGGCGTCCTTGAGAACCTGTTCAACGGGCTTGAGGGTCTTCTTGAAGAGGTCGTTGTTGAGCTCCTCGAACTTGGCGCGGGTGAGGGTCTCGGAGAAGTCCTTGCCCTTGAAGAAAGACTCAATCTCGATCTTGGTGGTCTTCTGGGAAGAGAGAGTACGCTTGGCCTTCTCAACCTCGCGCTTCAACTTGGACATGGTCTTGGAGTCCTTGGTGATGTCGACATCGTTCTCCTTGTTGTACTTCTTGGTGAAGTAGTTGATGACACGGTTGTCAAAATCTTCACCACCGAGATGAGTGTCACCAGCGGTAGACAGGACCTCAAAAACGCCGGATTCGATAGTGAGGATGGAAACATCGAAAGTACCACCACCGAGATCGTAGACGAGAACCTGGCGTTCCTTCTGGTCGGTCTGTGGTGCGTTAGCTGAGTTACTTCAACGGAGGATGCTGATAACTTACCTTGTCGAGGCCGTAAGCCAGAGCGGCAGCGGTGGGCTCGTTCACAACACGGAGAACATTAAGACCAGCGATAGTTCCGGCGTCCTTGGTGGCGGCACGCTGAGCGTCGTTGAAGTAGGCGGGAACGGTAACGACAGCGTTCTTGACAGGCTCGCCAAGATAGCTCTCGGCCACCTCCTTCATCTTGCCCAGAACCATAGCGGAGACCTCCTCGGGGGTGAAGGTCTTCTCCTCGCCGTGAACCGCAACGGAAACCTTGGGTTGACCGCTCTTGTTGACGACCTTGAAGGGGAAGTGCTTGATGTCATTCTGAACAGACTTCTCCTTGTACTTGAGACCGATGAGACGTTTCTACTCCACAGTCAGTATGCCAGCCTTCCAACAACGGTATGCGGGAGTGTACGTACGATATCGAAGATGGTGCGTTCGGGGTTGGAGGCGAACTGGTTCTTGGCGGCGTCTCCGACAAGACGCTCGTCATCGGTGAAGGCTACCCAAGAAGGTGTGATACGGTTACCTGGAGAGGACACATGTCAGTTTGGGTGTGTGGGATGGTCGAGCACGCAGACTTACCCTGGTCGTTGGTGATGATCTCAACCTTTCCGTTCTTCATGATACCGACACAGGAGTAGGTGGTTCCCAGATCGATACCGATGACGGGGCCGGAGACGCCATTGGCGTCCTCCTTGATGGGCTCCTGGTCCTGGGCGTGTGCTGTCTTAGCCAGCATCAGACCGCCGACAAGGACGAGGAGGAGGTAGAAGGCAATGGACCATGTTGAGCGCTGGTTGGCGCCCCGCGAGCTTCGTGCCATTGTGATGTGTGTGTAGTCGTCAAGACTGGGGGTATGGCCTAGATGCCAGGTGCAAGTGCGGGCGTAACTCTCTGGGAGCTCGCAATGTGTGGAGTAGACGGGGCTCTCCGGGTATCGCTGAGAAAGAAACAAAAGGCGAGGTGCGGTGGTTGCAGTTGCAAGGTGAGTGGAGGAGGGAGGGCAAGTAGCGGTGGGCGGCTACTGTTATATGGACACGTCGTGGAAGTATTTCGAAAGAACACCTTGCGATCTCGAGGATCTTGCTCCGCAAACGGCCTAGCGCGCAGCTCGCCCATGGCCCGTTCACTTTGCCCCAACCGCCCGCATCAGCCTCAATTTCACCTGCGTTTGACGCAGCTGGCTACAGGACACGTGTAATTCGCTAGCACTGTGCTTTCACTGCGCCCGTGTAGCAGGTGTGACTCCGCGCTATGCAGACCTATAGGCCACAGTAGCTTCTTGTGCAGACGATGATGGGGAAGTCGCAGCTCCGTCGTTATCTGCTATCGTGCCTCTAGGCCAATTTACCCCTCCATCTAAGCGAACGCGAACATCTACAAACCTCGGTGCTCTACCATCTCAACGTCCAAGTCGCGAATCAATGCATCTGAATTGCAAAATCGCCGTTTCCTCCATGCGCGAACCCCAGCCAGTCTGAGTCGCTGCGTCGGTAATCTCGGACACGGCTCTCGTTGTCTGTCCCAAGTTCCAGGTGTCCTTTCGGTAGTCTTCCAGTCGCTAGGCAGACAGATCTACACGAGACACTGGCTCCACCGCACCGCCAACACCATTCACCTCGATGACTCCTTGGTCGATATGCAACGTTTCCTCAATCTTTTTGCCACGAGTGTGAACACGCTGCTTCATATCTTCATAGCTGCCTAGCAGAAGGACGGATCAAAGCACCCTGCCCACCGTGCACGACCAGTCACCATACTTGCACATGTGAAAGGATTTGCCTGTAGGTAAAACTGGCCTCTTTGAAAGCAAGATGTGCGAAAAACACTACACGTATGTGGTTTGATGCTTCGTCCCGGATAGCTTGACGTCTGCCCAAGAGAACCTTCGCGACCGTTCCCCTGTCCCACTCTGCCGATCAGCCGCTTCGCCGACACAACCATCGGAACCCGTCACCAGGCCTTTGCCAAAGTCTCCCTGAAAGTGCTCAATATGTCAGCCCACCGCGCACCAGACCTGCTCTTCCACACAGCCAGACCGAGAACGCCGACACCCAAGGCGGAGGGTATCGCCTTCTTGGCAAACCTTGTTGCAACGTGTCTGAAAAACATGTCCTGCTTCTGCCTTACCCGCTTCACATGCTCGTCTCTCTTGTTCTTGACAGGGAATGGCTCCTCTGGTACCTCTTTCTCGAGGAACTCGCATAGCGGCTTCCAGCCATCCTCCAAGCGGAACTCGAGCAAGCGCTCGGCAGGCACCGCAGCACGAATTTCTGCATAGTGTTTCCTATATCGATCCTTGGCAACCCGCCGCATCTCATGCACATTACGCACATCATAGAAGCCCAGCATGATCTTGCGAATCGTCTTGCCGCCATTGAGACCGTACAGTGGTCCCAGTACGTTGATCACGAGATCAGCGCGAAGCCCCCATGTCGTGCTGAAGATGGCCGCCTCCATACTGTCGTACCACTCGTCGATATCACGTTCCACCAAGATTAGCTTCGCCTCGGGATAGGCTTCTATGAGCTGCGTCGCGAAGAACGAGCTCATGTCGGTGACGGCCTCATAAGGCCCAAAGATAACGTCCCAATCGGCGCGTGTGAATGGCGCGCCTGTGTAGGTCGGCAGCGAAGGGTAGAAGGCGTCGCATGCTTTGCTGAAGAACTCCCACTCAATTGGGGAACTAATGGCCTGGATGCCGTGGTGCACGCCTTGATATCCGAGAATCTCGAGAGCTTGAGTAATGGACGCCGACCCTACCCTCGCTTCAGTCAGCTTCTCCCGACGGCTGTAACGATAGCAAAAGCAAACGTTGGAGGAGCTCACCAGTACGCGTCATTCCCAATGATAGCACCTTCAGCTCGCGCTTTGGGCGATCGCCAATGGAGGTTGGTGTCGCCATGGCTCAGACCAAAGCTGGTTTCAATCACGCCAAATGGCTGACGAGAGAAGATGGTCGGGAGTACGACAGAAGGTGATATTTCTCGACCATTGTAAGCTCGGCAGAGAGGTGACTACCCCAAGTTGCTGCTCACCGTGGACCGTGGTAAACATTCCATACTCATTTATTGGACCGCCTACCACGTGGTCAAAGGAGTGGCCATCTTACTTGCCGCTGTCTAACTCGAATGTGAGCGCCGAAGAGCGCCCACTGCTATCAATACGATCTACCGGTAGACCCCATCCTAATTTCAACACGCTCGGGCCGAAGTGTAACGGGCCGAGTAAAGTGCCACTGCAAACGCATCGCGCATAATTGGTCTACACTCCAAGAGTACAACGGAATACGCGCAACCAACATCCTGGCTTGGTAAAAATATTATCGGAAAGACAGGCTTTCTGCTGTCGAATCACATGAGGTAAATCAACGATGTCCGGGTCTGATACACGCACACACATCATCACTCGTGTTCACCGTGTTCACCGTATTCACCGTATAGGGCGTACTTGCCCGTCATGAGGCCTACGCAAGCGTTCTGTACACTGTTCTGACGCTGCCGGTATGCATAGCCTTGTAGATTTACGTGCTGATACAACAGATGCTCAATCAAGTTCTGACTACCGCCTCGGCCTGATGGAGACCATGAGCGGCTTCTTCTCCCAGACCAAATACGACTTTTGTGTGATCCACCACTTCTCACTGTTTGGGCTGAGCGAGATGTCAAAGTTCCAGAAGAGCTTAGCCAAAGCCAGTCTCATCTCATTCATAGCCATACTGGAAAACCATGAAGTCAGCGATCGTTCCACCGATACCGAAAAGGGAAAGAGAGATCTTACGTTTGTCCAATGCAATCATGTCTACCATAGGAGAAAGGACGAGATGCACCTCGGTCATCACGAACAAACTCCCCATCTTTCGTCTGCAGCCACCTCTCTGGGATAAAGTCAAGAGGCCGGTGCCAGTTCCATGGAGCGTGACAGGCTGCGAGATTGTGCATGCCTACAGCTGTCTGTTGGTCGACTAGTCAGTACAAACTCGCCACGGCCGAGACGCGAACAAATACTTACACCTCCCGGTACCCATTTTCCATCTATGTCCTCTCCACCCTCTGGAACCCAGCGCGGCAAAGCTGATGGCGTAGGCGGCGATATACGCATCGACTCCTCGATGCAGGCCTTCAAGTAAACCAGCTCACCAGCAGCAACCATGGTAATCTCCTCTTCGCTCGCAAACCTACCCCGCACCTCGGCAATAACCTTCTTATAGGCGTCCGAATGCCCACAAACGAAGAAGACAAATGCGCTCATCGTATACGTAGTCGTGTTACTGCCCGCCACAATCAACGCGCTCGCCATACCAAAAAGATCCATGTTACTCAAATTCTCACTCTCGTTACCAAGGATGTAGCTCATGAAATCCCGTCTCTTCCCTTTTCGGGTGCCAGCACGCTCCTCATCAATCCGTCGCTGTACCTTTTGGAGGGTGAGTGTTTGATGCCGCTTCCGCGCCTCCATGGCCGCTTTGGGTGCCGTCCATTTGAGTATCCACTCGATATGGTAGTACGTAGCGAGTTGATACCAAACAATGCTTTTGACGCGCGAACCAATAACGTCAAGCCAGGGCTCATCGGCGCGGTCGAGACAGCCGGCTGGTTGTCCAAAGGCCAGGTCGCTCATGATGTCGAAACTCAACAGGCTGAACCAACGGAGGATATTCTGCTCTACAGCATGATACTGTGGTTTCCGTAACTGAACAACAAGCCGATCAGTGTGGTCCCGAAAGAACTCTTCTTGGTCCCGCAAAGCGCGTTCACTAAACGCTGGCTGAAGCGCCCGACGTAGCACGGCATGGCGCTCAGGCGTCTCGGTAACGATACTACGACGACCGTTCACGACCGCAGGAGCGATACCACGGCCATCCAGACACTTCAGGAACTCGCGTGGCGGGGGCGAGCCGTCGATCTTCTTCAAGGCTGTGCTGCTGGTGTAGGACAGCTCGTCGGGTGCGATGCGTATCACGGGGCTGTTGTAGTAGATGTGCATGTCGCGGATGCGCCATGCGAGATCGCCGCGGAGGTTGACATAGTGCCAGGGGAGGCGGGAGATGGCCCAGAGTTTTGGGCCTGGAAAGCGTGAAAGGGGGTGGAGGGTGAGGTAGTAGAGGGAGCGGAGGAGGAAGTAAAGTACAGGCTGTGCGCGGTTAGGATGTTGGAGGTTCCTTATGGTGTTGAAGGTGTTGGCGTACACTGAGGAAGATGAGAAGGGCTATAGTGAACAACATCTCGGCGTTGAGCTTGGTGTTCGGTCGTTCTGGTCCTTCTGTCTAGTACTCACAGGACGAGCTTCATGGCCACAGGTTCAAGGTAGTGGCATCGACACATATCTTCTTTCTCGTAAGTAAAGCGGACCAATCACTTCAACTTCGATTGCTGATTCTCCTTCGTACGTAGGACAGTTCTGGCATCGTTGCCATCGTCGCAGATGCAGCAGTCGACGAGCCAATGGGACAAAGTGTATACCCACGTGGCTGATCGACTTACCGTGAGCGTCTGATCTCGAATGCGACTCCACTTGTAGTCCACGATATTGTAACCCCACGCTGCCCCTGCTCTCGGCGCTACTAGTACTTCGATCCCGCATTCGGTCCGGCCTCGTTAGTGAGGCCTAGTCGCCGTTGGTTGCTGTACTGACTCGGGACTTGCATGGCATCGTTACGAGGTCAGTGGTGATGGAAGAGGAAAGAGCGAGGGCTCAGCGTACATTCTGTCATGAGCGGTTGGTTTCAAGATTTAGGATGGATGACACGTGACTACACTCACACTGCCACCACCATCCAAGAATTGAGCCACAGTCGAGTCAGCTAACTAGAACAATGCACCAGTATCTACTCAACAGCAACCCTCAATCTACACAAAACCGCCTTCTCCCTCTCCAAAGGACTCCCCGGACTGCACACCACGGTAAAATTATGCCAATCCCTCTCCAAATCCACGTCCAGTCCTTCAATAACATCATACCTCTGCATCATTCTCACAATCACATACCCCGCCTCCGTAAGAGCAAATTGCTGCCCAATACAAATGCGCGGCCCCCCATTGAACGGGACGTACTGCCACGTTGATCCCGGTCTCCTCTTCTCCCAACGTTCGGGTACGAATTCATCGGCGTCTTCGCCCCAGAGATCTTTCCGGCGGTGCAGGACGTGCGTGCTGAAGTTTACTTCTGTGCCCGCGGGGACGAAGATGGGGAGGGTACCCGAGGGGCCGCCGCCAGTTGGGAGGGTGGTGTCGCGGACGGCGCAGCGGGAGTTGAACGGTACTACTGAATGTAATCGTAGCGTTTCGTTCAGAACATGTTGTAGATACGTGCAGCTCTTGAGTTTCTCGAACGTGATACTCTGGCCAGGCGTGGTACTCGAGTAAGACCCAAATTCCGCGAGAATGACTTCACGTAGCTTTTTGTATACCCGTGGGTCCCGCACTAAGCAGTAGAAAACCCATGATGTGAGTGATGCTGTCGTGTCTCGACCTGCGGCTAGCAGACCGAGAACTTGCTCGCGAACTTCAGCGCGATCGGCACAGCGCGATCGCAGTGTCTCGAGGAAGTCGTAGCGGAGGGATGAAGAACCCTGTTTTCTCGCTTGGTCGGCGGCGTCGATGGCGTGGTCGACGAAGGCGTGGAGAGTGTTTATGCATCTGTTTAGTTCGGTGTTGCCGTAGAGCCAGTAGAAGCTGCGAAGACGCATTCTAATTCCGAGGATGGTCAACATACGCTCGAATGCGTGGTCGAAGCTTTCTTCATCGTGCTGATCAGTACTGCCTCTCTCTTTCTGATGTTCTGCGAGCAACGCATCAAGCGACCCCGTACTCATTCCCAGAAAGAACTCTGTCGCCGAATCCATCGTCAGCTTCGGTAACAACGCCGCCAAACTGACGGGCGCCGACCACGCCCTCCCTTGCTCATCAACCCTCAACACCCCTTCTTTCCCCTCAATAACTCTCAATAAACTCCCCACATGCCCCTCCAACACCTCCAGCCGACTCACATTCTCCCTACTAAACAGCGGCCGCATAGTCTCCCTCGCTCTATGCCAAGCCACCCCATCAACAGCAAAGATACTGCGCCCGAGCGCCCTCTTCAAATTCGTGCGTCGGGCTGTACCCATAATGAAGTCGTCGAATTGCGTGGCGAGTAGCGCTTGGATGTTGCGCGGCTCGGCGGTGATGAGATTGGTGGTGCCGAGCAGGGATATGGCCCATGTGTACCGGTTCATGGCCATGAAACGCGAGAAGATGAAATCGGGGGTGCGTTGCTCGCGGTCGGCGAGGAGACTGCGGCGGATGGTGTCGATGCCGAAGGGGAGGTTGTAGGGCTCCACGGGGACGGGACCGCATCCTAGTTGACGGCTCTTGAGGTAGTTGCGGAGGGGCTTGAAAATGAGGGCATTGGTTAGGTGAATCAAAAGGAGAAGGCCTGCGCCTAGGAGGAGAAGGTGTGTTTGCATCTTTGGTATAGGAGCTTCTGGTGTTGAAGCTGTGTGGATCTAGAAGTGCGCCACTCTAAGTTTAAGTATGCCACTGAGCTATTCATTCCGACGCACCATTTTTGACCCACATGTATAGCACTAAGCAGGGGCCGGGCACCCAGTCATGTCTCTAATCTTCGAGCTGGAATCCGCCTACTTGGCGTTGTTCGTGAGATTGATCGGGAGTGAGTCATTCCGTTTACAGTATAAGTTCGTTCGAATTGTATCGCAGCTCTCTCATGTAATTTTGACTATCTCAATGACTTCATGTAAGATCAGTACATCACGAGCACATCCATAGCTCCACTTCCGGCTGTCGCTACCCATCCAGATCAGACACAGGCGTCAGTTTGACCATCAAAGGCAGCTTTTCCCACACCAAGTAGGTACCCTGCTTGTTCCACCAGTCGTTACCAGGGTCATGAAGTTCCCAGTCAAAGAACCGTACCAATTTCGCCATTGTAAGTGACATCTCGGCATAAGCCATAGACCGTCCGATACAAGCCCTCTGACCGTATGAAAACGGCTGAACAGCAGAACGGTCATCGTCCTTGAACTCTTCTGGTGCGTCATCTAGCCAGCGTTCCGGATGAAACTCACGGGCCTTCTTGAAATTGCGCTCAGAGTGTCCGGCTGCCAGCTGATTAACGGCAACAGCATAACCACCAGGAACCCATTTGCCCTCGATCATTTCGCCCTTTCCAGGGACGAAGCGTGGCAGTGAGCCCGGGGTTGGTGGGTAGAGACGCATGCCCTCGTTGAGGCAGGCGCGCAGGTACTTGCAGCTTGTCACTGCTTGGAGGGTCATGTCTGCGCGGCTTTTGAACAGGCCACGTATCTCTTGCTTGAGCTTCTCGAGTTTATCTGGGTTGCGCAGGAGAAGATATGTTAGGCCGGACATGCCGCCTGCCGATGTACCACTGCCGGCTACGATGAAGTTGGAGGAGAGCATGACCAGTTCAAGGTGGTTGAGCTTCTCGTCGTTCTCGAGGATGTAGGACCTGATCAGACACTGAGTCAGTAGTGTTTCGACTGGGTAATGAGTCGATTGAACTTACATGAAATCCTTCCCAGGGTCCTTGGCTTCGACACGCGCCTTCAACTTGGCTTCTGTCATCGCGATGTGCTTCTTCCTTGACTCGGTGACGTATTTCGGCGTCATCCAGTTGAGTAGACCCATGAAGCCGTACTGCACGGCAAGCTGGAACCAAACGATAGCCTTTGCGCGAGCGAGGATAGCTTGGATCCATGGTTGCTCGGGGTTGTTGACGCAGCCTGATGGTTCGCCGAAAGCCAGGTCGGATACGATATCGAATGCGACGAGGTTGTACCATGTAGTCATGTCGACGGGTCCGTCTTTGCTTCGTTCCTTCAGCTTCTGGACGAGATTGTCAGAGTGGTCTTGGAAGTAACTCTCTTGTTCGCGCCTGGAATGAAATCAATATTGCCATACCATGCCTGCATTTCCATGAATAGACTCACAGCGCTCTCTGACTAAAAGCCGGATCAATAGCTCTTCTCAACCTCAAGTGTCGATCTTGATGCTCAGTCATCAAGCTACGTTGGCCACCTATACTCGCAGGAGCGATACCTCTACCGTCAAGAGCCTTCACGAACTCAGGGTTTCGTTGTCCGTATATCTTCTTCCACGCTCCCGAAGTCGTGTAAGAGAGCTCATCAGGAGCGATGCGCACAACAGGACCGTATTTGTCGTGAAGCTCGCGGATCTTCCAGCTGATCCGACCCTTCATGTTTGCGCGATTCCATGGTAGACGAGAGATGGCCCAGAGCTTCGGCCCCGGATAGCCAGCTAGAGGGCTGAGGTAGAGATTGTATACGACCTTGAAGAAGACGTGAAGCAGGATCTGGTAATCTTTGTGAGCTCATACAGAAGCCAAATTAGAATTTACGTAGACTTACAAGCACTAAGATACCGGCGGTGATGTTTCGCAATGTCAGTGGTGGTGCTTGGCGCAATTGTTGCCACAGGCTATCTGGTATGAAAGCAGCAGCCATGATGTTGTGAAGTTGCCAGACTGTGACGAAAGTCAGAGCCAACGGTTCGAAAGCCGGGGGATGGAAATCTCAGCCTTCTCCAGCTCATCACTCCGTTGAACGCTCAAACTGTCGGAGGCATCTATCCCGACGTGTTTGATCCATGCGGCATCTGGCAAAAACCTCCAATTCCCTTACTATCGCCAAACGTCGCACTCGCCGACCGATGGTGCAGACCAGAAGTAGCCAATTGCATCCCCTCCATTACGCACGCTCTGCTACAGTTGGTGTTTAGAGAGACTGAAGTTTTCCGCGGTGAAGACACGAAGGTGAGCTCAGGTGACCCGGACTTTCATTCGGCCCTTGGTTGTCGGGCCGATCCTCTCTCCGAAATGGCTTGCAGAAAGTCGGCTGTGCGCATGCGATTGTGGATACTGGCGGGATACATGGGTTTGACAACGGTGCGCAAAGAATTATGTGCAGCTGGGCCACGTGTTTGGGGTGAATGGTGAAAGCTTGACCACGGGTACGGAGAAAAATGACTCGTGATTACTACACGGCGATACAGTGTAAGGTGGAGCATTTCTACACCCCTGTTGATTTGGAAGAATGCCAGTTCCTCTTGCGTAGTCTCCAGCACGCGGTATCGCTGGGTTGCTGGCCTGTCAATGTGTCCAAGAGATGGGCTGTGATGACGAGCTGGTTGTCTGTGGGTAGCTGAGCATCTCTTTGTATGAAACACCATCTCTTTTCGGTCTTGACGTCTCTCTTTGGTATCGCCAGTCCACGTGGTGACATCTGTATCACCAAAAAACATGGATAATCAACATGGCTCCGACAACGTGCTTGCCTCATCGGCAAAGACAATCCGTGCCGAGCTTCAACAGAAGCTTTCCAGCGAAGCGCGAATCCATCTTCCGTTCGACATGGACAAAACGGGCTTCGACAAGGGCAACCTTCGCTTCACTCAGTACGAGCGCCCAACATACCTCGCTATCGTCGAGCCAGGTTGTGAGAACGATGTAGTCGAGGTCGTCAAATATGCGCGGGAGAAGGGTATTCCATTCACACCCCGTGGTGGCCACCATGCAGTCACTACCACGATGAGACATTTCAAGAACGGTATATGCATCAATATGCGCCCACTCAACCACATGCGATGGGACGCTGAGAAACGGCATGTTACCGCCGGTGGTGGAGCGATCACTGATGAGTTCGTGCGCTTCGTGCATGATTTGGGTATGGAAGTCAGTAAGTATAACAGCATCTTCGCTGAGAGTGAAAGTACTTACAAAGCTGGTAGATGTGGGGTCGTGTCCTACGACTGGTGTTATTGGCGTAGCGTTTGGTGCAGGCCTTGGCCGTTTACAAGGCAAATATGGCTTTCTAAACGACAACATGATGTCTTGCAAGCTCGTGCTCGCTGATGGAAGCGTAGTGGTTGCATCCAAGGACTCGCATCCGGACCTGTTCTGGGCGATTCGTGGCGCAGGCCACAATTTTGGTATTGCAGTCGAGGTCACGTTCCAGGTCTATCCGCAGCCGCACGGAGGCATACACCATACTTGGGATCTGGAGTATACATTGGATCAGTGCGATGCGGTGTTTGAGACGCTGAATAGTGTCTATGAGACTATGCCGGCTGATTTGGCAATCTTCGTCCTATGGTTGCGCCAGAGCAGCGGTCGCAAAGTAGGTCGCTTAACGAGTGAGGTATCCACGCTGCTAACAAGGCCCAGCACATCATTCTTGTAAACCTAGTCTGGTCTGGTCCAGCTGCGGGTGCAGAGCCCTATTTGCAGCGCTTCGAGTCCCTGGGCCCAGTCTTGATCACCGGGCGGAAGTCCGTGTCATGGCCAGAGCTACCGTTCACCACCTACAAAGAGATAAACAAGCTCTTTTGCAATCCCGAAGTCTGGCTCCGAGGCCCCTATAAAATGATGGGCGCCGCCTGCGTCGACAAGTTCGACCTCAAGACGACACGCGAGTTCTTTGAGAGTGTCAAAGCTATGAGTGAGGAGTGGGAGGACCGCGGTTGGTTCAGTGCCATGTTCGAATGCCTGCCTGACCAGCGTGCTCGCGAGATCCCCGACGATGCGACAGCCTTTCCGTGGCGCGGAGGTTCGAATCATTTCCTGTGAGTGTACCGCATTGGTTCTATACGAAGCAAGTTCTAACTCATGGGATGTAGTATGCTGAATGCGACACCAAAGCGATTGGAAGACCGCAAGGTTTTCGAGGATCATCTCAACTACTGGAAGCAACGCTTCGTCGAGACGTCTGGATACGGCCGTTTGCAACAGTATGTGAGCTATGGTAATGGCACGGCGACCTTGAAGGACCCGTCCGAAGCACTGTACGGCTATGAGCCCTGGAGATTGGTAAAGCTACGGCTTCTCAAGCAGAGATATGACCCCGACAATGTGTTTCGATGGTACCAACCATTCGTTGATCCATGAGGCATTCTGAGTAGATCTTTGGAGTAGTCTCCAATACAAACCTAGCTTACCGATAACGACGTTTGATGTGAGACCCTGTGGAGCAAAAAGATCCTGTCTACGTTGACGCGTAGGCGTTTCGACTCGGTGGTGGCACCCCTGGTGTACGCCTGAGCGTTTTGAGATATTCGATAGCTTAGCAGATACGATTTCAGCTCCCTGACGAGTAGTAGAAGGCCGCGCGCGTACACGTGGGCATGGAGAGTGGCCTATGGATGTTGCTAGAACTCCGAAATCTGGCCGAATCGCGGGCGCAGTAGGGAGTGGGTACTCTGGCGCATCGTGACCCACGCTGGACTTCGAAGCGAGGACAACAGCAGTACGGTCTGGGGAAATATCTGAAGCCGACGCTAATAATTCTCCGATTATAAGGGCCTTCGGTGGGTCGGAAAAGTCTTGGGAAGTCTTGTTTAGAGTGGTGGAGACACACCTGAGTCGTGGCTTCGGTTACCCCGGTCGCCTTCAGATCTTGGGAAGATAGTCGAACACGTTCACCTGTATCGGGGAAGCAACATGCTGCGTGCTCAAACAACCCAGCGGTATTGGATAGTTTCGTCGAGATGTTTGATCGGCTTGATATCGCTCCTGTCTAATTGCAGTGCAGATGCGTGGGCTTGAGAACGGTGATCGGGCCATTGCGACGCGAAACCTGTAGCATTAGTAGATGAGAGTCTCATGAGACCCTTTGGAGATGATATTTACCTGTAGCTTTCACAGCAGGCTTTTACGATTGTTCTCCTCCCATTCACCAGATTATACGGCGGTGTACTATTCTTCCCAATCCTCCATCCTCTTCAAGCTGTCACAATGAACAAACCAATCGCCATAATCGGTATCTCTTTCCGGGGCCCAGGCGATGCTCGGGACCCCGAAGCCTTCTACCGTATGCTCGTAGAAGGTCGCAGCGCACGCACCGAAATCCCCAAGGACCGTTACAACGTCGACGCTTTCTACCACCCCGACCCAGAGCGGCTAGGTAGCATCCAACAAAGGTAGGCTCAATCTGTTGTCGTGCTCATGTCGTTGATCATGCTGATGTGCTGTTGCGACAGACATGCGCACTTCCTGGAACAAGACTTCAAGGTGTTCGATGCTCCTTTCTTCAGCATCACGCCGAAGGAAGCGAAGGCCATGGATCCGACACATCGCATTCTACTGGAAGCCACGTATGAGGGCTTCGAAAACGCTGGCTTGACCTTGGAGCAAGTCTCAGGCACACAAACATCCTGCTACATCGGAACCTTCACAGCGGACTTTCCCAATCTGCAAGCCCGTGATAACGAAGGGCCTTCAATATACCGTAAGTGATCGAGTCGGTATAATGCTGGTCCAAGCTAAGCCTTCTCTGCAGACGCGACTGGCATGTCAGCATCTCTAGCCTCCAACAGACTGTCGTGGTTCTACAATCTGCGGGGGCCTTCGCTGACAGTCGACACGGCCTGCTCATCAAGTTTAACAGCATTCCATCTAGCCTGCCAGAGCATCCGCACGGGCGAAGCCGAGATGAGCGTGGTTGGTGGTGCCAACCTGATGTTCGGACCGGATATGTCCATCCTCCTGGGCGCTGCCAAGATTCTGTCGCCTGAAGGCAAGAGCAAGATGTGGGATGCAGACGCGAATGGTTTCGCGCGCGGAGAAGGATTCGGCGTTACTATTTTGAAGGTGTGTACTGAGCGCTTCCGTCGCGGTCTCGGTGTGAGGAATTTGACTAACGAGTGGCGGCATGTAGCCTCTAGACGCAGCGATCCGCGACGGCGACAACATCCGAGCAGTCGTGCTGGCCACGGCCGCTAACGAAGATGGTCGCACACCAGGCATCTCGTTGCCGAACAGCGAGGCGCAACAAGAACTGATCCGAACCGCATACCGGCAGGCTGGTGTGGATCCAGCAGAGACAGGATACGTCGAAGCGCACGGAACGGGTACACAGGCTGGTGATCCGCTTGAGGCCCGCGCTATCCTCAAAACCATTGGATCCGTCGAGAACCGCACATCAGATCTATACGTCGGATCCGTCAAGACGAACATTGGTCACCTCGAAGGCGCAGCTGGTGTAGCTGGTATCATCAAGGCTGCGCTGACTGTGGAGCGGGGCATGATATTGCCGAATCTCTGGTTAGTGGATCGCTGAAGCTCTCAATTTGCATATACTGATATCCTCCAGGTTCGAGAAGCTCAATCCAGACATTGATTTACCAAAGAATGTCAAGATAGCTTCCAAGTTGACGCCGTGGCCACACAGCGGTCCTCGCCGCGCAAGCGTCAACAGCTTCGGTTTTGGCGGTGCGAATGCACATGTCATCCTTGAGGACGCGGCGTCTTTCCTGTCACGACATGGCTTGAAGGGTCGACATGCGACAACGCCGCCCCTTCACAGCTCAGGCAGCGTGCGCGTTGCTGAGCTCAGTGATAGTCCTAGTAGCTCTGCAAGCACTGTTGAGACGACCAGCGGAGACTGCAGCGACAACACGAGTGATGTTTCGAGCGAGATCTTGCGCGACCTTCATCCCACATCGAGGTTGT